TTCAATTCCTGGTCAGGGCACATTCCTGGGTTATAGGCTCTCCCTGATCAGGGGCATGTGGGAGGCAGCCGGTCAATGTTTCGCTCTCACATTGATGTTTCTCTCTCACATTGATGTTTCTCTCCCCTTCTCCCTTCCTCTCTTTCTAAAATTAATAAAAGCATATTTTTAAAAAAAGTAATACATACACATTGTTAAAAAGTTAATGGTATAGAAAGATATAAAAGTAAACTTTGTTTTCTCTGACTCCATTCTCTCTGGGAAGTAACCACTGTTCACAGTGTTTTGGTATATCTTCCAGAAAACTTTGTATGCGCCAAGCAATACATATGTTCTTTAGAAAATATATTCAAATGGGTTCATACTTTGTTGGTTTTGTTTTGTTTTGTATTCTAGAACTGCCTCATTCACTGTACTATATTTGAATCATATCTTACTAAGGGATATTTTGGGTGTTTTCAGTTTTTGAATTTATAAACAGTCCTGGGATGAACACTTTGTTGATATATCCTTCTGTATTTTTTTTTTGCAAAATGTATTTTGTATGCACATTTTAATTTTAATATTTGTTAATCCTCTCCTGATGCTCTTATCCACTGAGCCAAACTGGCTAGGGCTGTATGCACTTCTTAAAGATTTTTTTTTTTGGCGGGGGGGCGGGGTGTCTGCAAGAGGATGGTGCCGATTTGCAGCCCCACTGACTGGCCTGAGAGTGCCACGTCCCCCACCCACCGACTGCAGGCCAGTGCTTAAAATAAGCATCCTTGCTAACCTGATGGGCGAAAAACCGGAATCGAACCCGGGACCCTCCAGTCTGCAGGCCGACACTCTATCCACTGAGAGAGCATCTCAGCGTTTTAGCCTGAACTTCTTTGAGTGCTAAGGAGGTTGAACATAAAACGAGCTCATTTTCCTTTCAGAAGCCCCTGAATGTGACAGTGATCCGCAGAGGGGAGAAACACCGGCTTAGACTGGTCCCAACGCGCTGGGCGGGGAAGGGACTGCTGGGGTAAAGTATCTGTTTTGGTTCATTCACACGGCAGTGTCCATTGCATGTTTGTTAGACATAAAGGGGGGGTGGTGGTTGGGAAATGATGGGAATCCCCCGGTGACCTGTAGAACTGATGATGAATACTTGTGGCAGGAATGAGACTATAGGTGCAGAGGTGGAGGGAGCCCTGGTCTCGCTGGGCATTTGCTTTAAGGACTAAAGAATGTAAGTGAAAAGCTCAGGAGGGCTCCCCTCCTGATCTCCCTGAATGGAGCCGTCAAACTTACGCTGTTTCTTTTCTTTTTTTCTTCCAGCTGCAACATTATTCCTTTGCAAAGCTGATTGTCCCTGAGGAACAGTATCAGGAAAGCATCTTCTGTGGCCCTAGACTTGTGTCTTGGGGGGGATTTCTCCCTTCTCTCCTCTCCCTGGAGTTTAAGGATCTGGAAGCCTGAACTTCTAGGTGGTGGAAACGCTGTGGCCTCTGAGTGTGTCTCTTGGGATTAAGGCATTGTTCAGAACCTGATCTGTGCTTAGCTGATCTTTTCTGAATTAGACCATGGCCCCAAATGGGAATCTCTGATGGCAAGAGGGTGGGAGTTATTCTGACAGGTGCTGTCATGACTTTATTCTTTTAGGAATTATTTTCTCCAAATAAACAGTTTTATAGTACTGATATGAGCATGTTATCACACCAACTAAACTCCTTATGGGCCTCTCAGCCAAAGCCCAGAACATCCTCACAGAAAGCTGGGCCCTGGCCGGTGGCTCAGTTGGTTGGAGCATTGAACTGATGTGCCAGGGTTGTGGGTTCGGTCCCGGTCAGGGCCCATGCAGGGGTCATCCGATGAGTGCATGAATAACTGGAACAACGGAACGATGTTTCTCTCTCTCTCCTCTCTCTAAAATGAAAAAAAAAAAAAAGGAAAAAAAGAGAGGGGTAGAACAATAATTGTGCCAAAGTCAAATTTGACCACAATATTTCCGGAACATCCTTCTTTATGGCACGGGGTTTCCAGACACCAGCTGCCCGTCCCCCTTTGCAGTGCGGCGTTGCTGCCCTAGATACAGAAATCTTGTCTTCAGCACTTGGACCTCCAGAGCCACAGCTGCTCCCTTTAAGAATATGACATGCATATTCGTGAAGCATTCCATATTTTTATAACAAAAAAAAAAAGAAAAGAATAGATAAACCAGGAGGCTCCCCAGGCAGCCCAGCAGGTGTCGGCTTTCTCATCCATAATCCACCAGAGGGCAGCAAGCTCCCTCCACTTGTAGAATAAAAATGCCTGCAGATGAGCTTCTATTGTGGCTTTTTATCATTGAACCTTGTCACACCCTCAGCTCAGCACTATTTTATAAACTGCTAAGGTGTGCTTGACGTTGCTGATGGGAACAGCAGTGTGTATGGGTCCGCCTCTTGTTTCCTCTCTAACACGGCAAAGTGGATTTCAGTGATTCCTAGGGACTCTAGTCTTTCGCTCTTCACTGTATTTATTCCCACGGTTCGTGCAGTCCCCTCTCCTTCAGAGATCTGGCTCACTCTGCTAGGGCATCTGTGTCTCTTGGGACTGAATTTGCTTGGGTGGATACAGGTACCAGCTGGCCCTGACGGGAGTTGGTATTGGCCTGTGCTTCCTGCCATGGGTTCTCACGCTCAACTGGGAAGCCTTCCTGTGGAGGGTCTTCCCCAAACTGTTACTCTAGCCCCACCTCCACGGGTGTTCCCCTCCCACAGCCACAGTGTTGACCGAGCTTTGCTGTTTCAATTGGGTGTTCTAATTCCAAGTGTTTTCAATCTTTTTTTATAAGCCCTAGACCTGTGGTCGGCAAACTGCGGCTCGCGAGCCACATGTGGCTCTTTGGCCCCTTGAGTGTGGCTCTTCCTAAGCCTTAGGAGTACCCTAATTAAGTTAATAACAATGTACCTACCTATATAGTTTAAGTTTAAAAAATTTGGCTCTCAAAAGAAATTTCAATCGTTGTACTGTTGATATTTGGCTCTGTTGACTAATGAGTTTGCCGACCACTGACCCAGATCAACAGAGGTGTAGAAGGTGAGGGGAATGTAAAATACGTAAGGAGAGGGAAATGATGCAAACCCATTGCCCCCAGAAAAGCAACTGTAGTGGCATGGACTAGTGGTTTATGGGGTGCCACAACATTAGTAACAAAGAAACAATTTCTGGAGGATGAGGCCCAGAAATCAGGATTTTAAAAAGATTCCCAGGTGATTCTAATGTGCAGCCAAGTTTGAGAATCACTGCCCTAGACCCGTGTGGCTCTTTGACCCCTTGAGTGTGGCTCTTCCAACAAAATACCACGTGCGGGCGCGCACGTACAGTGCAATTGAAACTTCGTGGCCCATGCGCAGAAGTCGGTTTTCGGCCTGAGCGAGTCTATTTTGAAGAAGTACTGTTGATATTTGGCTCTGTTGACTAATGAGTTTGCCGACCACTGCCCTAGACTATAATCAACACAGCTTCTCCCATCCAGACGTGGGGGTGGGGTGGGGAGGATCACTCGCATTCTCGGATAGCAGCAGAGTCTTCTGCATCGTGCCTTTGGCTGGTTTCCTGCAGGTCCCCCTTTGGAAACCTCGGGATGGCCAGATGTGCCCTCTTCCATGAGATTCTAGGGGAGGGTCACTGGGAAGTAGAATTATCCTATTTTTTTTAAATATATTTTTTATTAATTTGAGAGAGGAAGTGAGAGAGAGTTAGAAACATCAATGATGAGAGAGAATCATTGATTGGCTGCCTCCTGCACACCCCCCACTTGGGATCGAGCCTGCAACCCAGTCAGGCATGTGCCCTGACCCAGAATCCAACCTTGACCTCCTGGTTCATTGGTCCATGTTCAACCACTGAGCCACATTGGCCAGGCGATCCTAAACCAAACTGGATTTGCAGAAACGTTTTGTGATAAGAACAGCAAGATAATGTATCCTCTACTATAATCTCCTGGCTAGCTAAAATTCTCAACACTTTTTACCCCAGTGAGGACGTGTGGAAGACATCTAGGTGCAGCATCCGCTAGACCGGGAAATTTAGACGGCTTTTGGAAAAGAGAATTTTTACCAAAACATTTCATACTTCTTCACTTAATCTTGTTAAACCGTCAGAAAGTCAAAACTGCTAGTGTTCGCTTCTGGAGTTTCTCAGGGGATGGCTCCATGGGAAAAGCGGATGGAAGAAAAGACCAGAAAAGGAAAGACCAGATTTCGCCGCCCCAGTCGCGGTGGTGCCTCTCCGGGGAGACCGGCTG